CTGGGACCTTGACCCGGATTCCAGCCTCTCTGGACAAATCAACGGGAAAGAAAAACTCCTTTCCTGCCCAGACTTCCTGAGGTGTCTCAGGTTCATGGTTTCACCCCGCCCCCCCCCAAAAAAAACAAACCCATCCCCAAGAGACCCATCCCTGTGGCCAAAAACCGCGCGTGGGGAAACAGGAAGGGCAACAGGGCTGCCCAAGCTCTTCTTTTATTCTCATTTTCCTTTGAGAAAATTGGGTTTAAAACTTGACGTATAAACGTTTGATGTGGACCAATCGCCAACCAGGGAATAAAATACATACACTGCGAGACACACACGGAAAGAGATTGGGTCAGAGTGGACATTATTTCAAGAGAAAAATAGGGAGGGGGAACCCTGATGCTGTGCTGAGAACTGAGGAAGGGACTGAAGCATCCCCGGGCATTGATTGGCCTTGAAAAGTTTTTGCGGGGATGGAAGTTCACCAGGGAGGAGATAATTCTGTTGGGAATAGTCTTGGCTCCAGCCAGCCACAGGTGGCTCACACCTGTAATCCTAGCTACTCAGGATGCAGAGAGATGAGGATAGAAGTTGGAGGCCAGCCTGCATAGCAAAATCTGTGAGTCATATCTTTGATTAATCAACAAAAAGCCAGAAGTGGAGGTATGGTTCAAGTGGTAGAAGGGTAGCCTTAAATGAAAAAGCTAAGGAAGATCACAAGGCCCTGAGTTCCAGCCCCTGTGTGTGTGTGGGGGGGGGGCAGCACATGGGCGCAAACATGCACGCGCGCGCACACACACACACACACACACACACACTACTCCCACTATGTCCTTATTTCAAGGTCTGCTTCTTAGAAGCCTGGTCTAAGACCAACAGCACTAAAAGCAGACCTGGGAAGTGGAGTCCAAGGATGAGATTCTGGACTTAACCTTCTTTCCTAGTAGTAGGCCAGACTCACATTGGGGCCTGGTGTGGAAGGAGTGGGGATTCTCTCTGAGCTTGAAGGACATCTCGGCCATGCCTGGAGGTCACTGAGTCCCCAGAACCACACCCCCCACCTGCCCCATCTAGGCCTGCAGACATAGACCATATTCCTTTGCAGTTGTGCTCCTTACCCTGCCCAAGACCTTGCAGAGATCTTAAGGTCCATGTCTTTCTGGAAAGTTCTTCTCTTCCCCCCTCCCTCTAAATGCTAATATTGGGGCTTGAACTCAAGGCTTTGTGCTCATGCTTGGCTTTTTTTGTCTTTTTTGCTCAAGGCTGGTGCTTTACTACTTGAGTCACATGTCCACTTCCAGCTTTTTGTGGTGGTTGAAGGGTTGCTATGGAGATGTTTTCTTATAGCCAGATGAGAGGACACATACCTGCCATCCCAGTTACTTGGGAGGTGATACCTGGATCTCAGGCAGAGGCCAGCACAGGCATAAATCCAAGACCCTATCTGACAACTAAAGCACAAAAGGGCTAGAGACATGGCTCCAAGGCCAGAGTTAAAACCTTAGTACCACCAAAAAGCTGTTTTACTAATGAGGACAAAACTCCAAAGACAACGTAGCCAGGAGTCCTTTGGGGCCCGGCCCGCTCTTTTTCTGTCTCCTGTGCCTTGTCTGCTTGCTTGCTAAACACAGGCACATCCCAGGGCCCATCTTGTGTCTCTTCCTTCTAGCTATACTCTGAGCCCAGGTGTTTCTTTCAGCCCCTGGGTTTTAAAGGCTATCTATTGTAAATAGATGCTTTACCATCTGTGGCATGATGGCTCACAGCCCAGGTAAAAAGTTAGGGAACTCCCCATCTGAACAAACAAGCTTACATTCTTTTCATCCCAGCTACATGGAAGGGAAGGAGGTTAGAGGTCAGGTCCACACTGGCCCCTGGAAAAAAATACTGAGACCCAACCTGGAAAATAACTGAAGCAAACAGTGCTGGGATATGGCTCAGTGGTAGAGTTCCTGCCTAGCAAACAAGAGGCCCTGAGTTCTAATCCCATTACTAATCATCAAGAAAAAGAATGCCAGGCACCAGTGGCTCACACCTGTAATCCTAGCTCCTCAGGAGGCTGAGATCTGAGGATCATGGTTCATAGTCAGTCCATGCAGGAAAATCCATGTGTCTCTTCAATAAACTATCAAAAAGCCAGAAGTGGAGTTGTGGCTGAAGTGATAGAGCTCTAGCCTTGAGCAAAAGACGCTCAGAGACAGTGCTCAGGCCCTGAGTTCAACCTCCAGGACCAGCACCAATAGTAATATAATAATAATAATAATAAAGAAGGCCAGGAAGAGGAGGAGGAGGAAGGGGGTGGGAATGCAATCATAAATCATAAAATTCAATGCATATTCTACAAAATGAAAATTGCAGGAAGGGGTGAGTTGGGAGATGTTGGAGATTGATGAAAGGGGGTGGCATTGATCAAGATGCATTGTATGCATAAGCTGCTTTGTTGAATAGCAACTCCTTTGCACAATTACTTAAAGATAAAATAATTTTAAAAAAGAAAGGCAAAGAACTGAAAGTGTTAAAACCAAATTTAAGAAAGACACCTCAGTATAGAATTAATTCCAGGCTGGCACGGTTGTACATTCCTGTGGTCTCAGCTATACAGGAGGTAGAGGTAGGAAGATCTTGCTTCCAGGCAGGTCCTGGGAAAATTAGTGGCCCCCATCTGAAATATAACCTAAAGCAAGAAGAGCTGGGGGCACAGAGTAGTAGCGAGTACTTAGCAAGCCTAAGGCACTGACACACACACACAAACACACACAAAGAGAACTGACTCGTTTCTGCCTACAACTCAGACAAATGGAAATTTATAGTGAAGTTGCTGTGATGGGGCGAGTGTCAAGGGGAGAGGAAAATTCAGAGAGCATTCTGCTAAATAGAGTTAGGGTTCATTTATGGAGGCCAGCTACAGGAGATCAAATGTCACCTGGGGCAGGGGCCGAGACTAAGGCTTTAATCAGATACTGAGGATGGGGATTCTGGCTAAACTGACTTGACAGGATTTTTACTGTAACTGGACAATTCAAAAGATAGCACAAAGTGCAAACTTGAGGCTAAAGGAGAAAAGCCGCAGAAGAGCCTGAGGTCTGGCGGGAGAGAGAGAAACTTTGCCTCCCTACCCTTGGACTTCTGGGATCTGCAGGTAAGCACACCTACTTTGGTCTCTTTCTTTCACTTCACAGCGCCCTAAATTAGCCCCAAATATGCCTGCTGGGTACTTTGGTACTTTGGCACCCAGGCCAACGGGAGAGCTGGAGGCTCCTCTTTCTTGGTCTCCCTCTTCTCCAACCCTAGTGACTACTCACTCCCAGCATGCCTTGCAGCCTTCGCAATCCCACATGTCCACATTCTGATGGTGCCATCAGTAAAGTTCAAGCCTTCACCACCTCAGACTCTTCCATGGGTCTTCAAAGTCCTCATGCTAGCCAAAATAGTCAGACATTACTTGGGCATGGGGTGAGATGGAGGGAGAGGGTGCTTTCTTCTTGTCAGCATGGAAACCAGGATGTCCTCATCTTGTTCCATGAGTGGCTCTACAGGCCTGATGCCTGTTCTGTTGTCCTACAGTTCAGATTTTCCTGATGGTTGAAATTTGCCCAAATCTGCTCGTTTCTGGGTGAAGCTGTGTGGCATCCCTGAACTGGCGCTGCAGGAGTTGATCACTGCTCTCTCTTTCTCTCTCGCTTTTGCTTTAAGAAGTTGGCTTCCTACTTATGACATTCTTAGCGAGCCTGTTAGACCTCATTGAATGAAAATCAGCAGCTCTTACACTGGGATGCAGCCCAGGGGGGAGGTGGGGTGTGCTTTTCAATGCTGTGTGCATCTTCTCTTCAGTGGTGTGACCCTGAGAGTCTGGCCTAATTCTTCATTAATTTCTCGGTAGTATGGAGTTTGAATCCAATCCTTGTGCTTGCTAGGTAGCAGAGCCATGCTTCCACTTACCCGCCTCCCCTTTTTTGTACCAGTTATTATGAAATAAAATTTTGACTCTGATCCTACTCAGCTTCTTTCATTGAGATGGAGTCTGATAGGCTCAGCTGGAACCTCCATCCTCTTCAGCTCAGCCTTCCGGGTAGCTTGATTGACAGGCATGCGCCTCTGCACACAGCTATTAGTTGAAAGCGGGGGGGGGGTCTAAACATCATTTTTTGGTGTCCATGGTGGCCTCAAACTTTGATCTCAGCTAGGATTACGGGCATGAGCCACTGCACCTGGCTATAATTAATTCTTAATTCCCGTAGCTTGTTACTGCCACCCTCTCCTGTCTGCTGTATCAGACACCCCTTCCCCTTAAATGCTTTAAGTGCTTGCCTCATCTTTCTCTTTTTCCCTTCCTCACTCCCTCCTTTCCTTCTTTCTTGGTGTCTGCATGGGGCTTGAACTCAGGGCCTGGGTACTGTCCCTGGGCTTTTTTCCTTAAGGCTAGCACTCTACCACTTTGAGTCATAGCACTACTTCTGGTTTTCTGGCAGTTAATTGGAGATAAGAATCCCATGGACTTTCCTGCCTGGGTTGGCTTTGAACCTTGATCCTCAGATCTCTCAGCTTCTCAAGTAGCTAGGGTTATAAGCATGACCTGCCAGCGCCCCTTGCTCTCCTCAGGTTCTTCCTGTTGGACTTTCCTTCCTTACCGTATCTCAGTCTCTGGCACTTTTTAGAATTCGCTGGAAGCGCTACCTGTCCTGGGACAGCTTCACCCCATCTTCTGCCCCATGGCTGCTGGTGTATGCCTCATCATCGGGACTTTGACACTTGTTCCATTCCAGGCCTGACACCCTGCAGTATGGTTGTATTCCTCACTCTGCGTCTTCCCCAGGACCAGCTGGTGGAAAAGCGGAAGCCTAGGATGAAGGGGCAGCTACTTCCCAGTGCAGTGTCTGTTTTTCTTGTTCACTCTTCCCTGCTCTTGTCCCAAAGGCAAACTGCCAATCCCCCCTCCCCCTTCCTCTCTCTTCTAGCTCGCTACACAGTGGGCAGCAGGAGAACCAGCCCCTGATATGGGCAGGCCATCAGTTACATGGTCTGCTTTCAGTCTTCCTGAAAGCTGGAACTGATTGGTTCCCTTCCCTTTTTGGGTTTGTAGCCCAGCAGATGCTCCACAGGAAGGCAGGTGACTGGCAATCTTTGGGTATATCCATATTTGGGTCCATCATAGTGAACACTAGTATCAAATTCTACCCAATTCCCAACTGTCTACTAGAAGGAATATGGACACCTGGTCTAATAGCTGCTAGCAAAATACCCTATCACTGTCAGACAGGCCGAGTTGTGAGGGCCCCTTGGTAATCCATGGTAGAACATGGGCTGAGTCTTAGTTCATGTGCTTGGCTCTACTGCTGTCCTGGAGCCCTTTTTGCTCACAGTCTAAGTTCCCACCTTGCAGTTCCTGCTCCTCATCAGCTTTCTTCTTCCTCCTTTCTTCTTCCTTCCCTTCCCCTTTACCTCTTCCTCCTCTTTATCCTCCTCTTCCTTTTTTCTGGGGGGGGGAGGAGGGAGGACAGAGTCTCACTATATAGGCCAGGTAGGCCTTGAACTGGAGATCTTTCTGCCTCTGCCTCCAGAGTGCTGAGATTACAGGCATGCATATCCAGGCCTGGTCCTCTTCCCACCTTCACAGCCCTTCTATACTTCATCAGCCTGTCATATCCTTCTGCCCATGATTCCCACCTAGATCTGGAATAACATCTCCTCACATGGGGCTAGGTGGGATTGAAGTTGGAATTTTAAATATTTACTTATTTATTACCAAAGTGGAAGACAGTGTCTCTTGTAGACAAGTGCTCTACCAATTGAGCCATATCCCTAGCCCTTCTGGTTTTGTTTTTGAGGTACGGTCTTGCTACCTTTGCTCAGGTTGGTCTCAAACTCACTATCTCCTGCCTTGCTTCCCAATAACTGAGATTATAGGTGCACACCACTACTCAAGGTAGAATTAAACAGTAAATGAAACATGGTAGTGATCATGCATGGTTGTGCACAGCTGTAATCCCAACACTTAGTAAACTGAGGCAGCAGGATCATAAGTAGAAAGCGAGTCCAGGCTACCTGGCAGGTTCTGGGTCAGCTTGGCTATGAGACTGTCTCAAAATGTTGAGAGGGGTGGGAGATATGAATATCCCTGTAATGAACTGAAGGGTATTGGGGTCTTGGGTAAGGACCAAGTCTGGGGAAGGCCAAGGGGAGATCTGGATGTTGGTATAATGTATGCATGGGGCTCTAAGGCAGGGGCAGGACAGTTGATTTTTACCCTCCCCCACATCAATTTATTTTCTGGCTCTGGCTCCAGAGACTGACCCTTGAGAGCTGTGTTCTTTGGGTCCCATCCACCAGTCTCAGAAGTACTGCTAAATGCCCGTTGCTCATGCCTGTCATCCTAGCTACTCAGGAGGCTGAGATCTGAGGATTGTGATTCAAAGCCAGTTTAGGCACACAAAGGCAGTACTGGCAGGTGACTAGGTGCAGGAGGGTAGAATTGGGGATGTTCTCTTTGCTCTGTCTCCCACTGTCTCTCTGCAGTCACAGTTTCCACTGGGTGACCTCAATCTGCACACTTCTAGCTCGTTCTTTCTTTTCCTTCCTCTCTCTGTCTCTGTCTGTCTCTCTGGTTGGTTGTGGGGCTTGAACTCTGGGCCTGGGCGCTGTCCCTGAGCTCTTCAGCTCAAGGTGAGTGCTCTACCACTTGAGCCACAGCACCACTTCTGGTTTTGAGTGGTTTATTGGAGATAAGAGTCTCATGGCCGTTCCTGCCCAATCTGGCTTTGAACTGTGATCCACAGATCTCAGCCTCTTGAGTAGCTAGGATTACAGGTGCAAGCCATTGGCATCTGGCTGACTTATAGCTCTTTCTAAGCGTGATGGCACCCAACTTTTGTCTATCCTTCAAATCTAAGGGTGTAGGGGAGGGGGACACACTGATAGGCTCATACTCTCCACATTCCCATGCTTCTCTTTGCCTGGTGACACTGCTTTTGGTTAAATTATTCTGTCCCTTGCCCATTTCTTGAGACCCTATGGGGGGAAGGGTTCCTGCTGTATCTAGATCAGGAAGGATGCTCAAGGGCCTAAGCTGGGGATCTGAGTTTCCCAACCAACTCCTCCCTCCCTCTCTTGTTCCCTCTTTTTAAAACAGGGACTCAATTTTTAATCTAAAAAAAAAATGTGTGTGCTGCTACTAGGACTTGAACTTGAACTCAGGGCCCAAGTGCTGTCCCTGAGCTTTTTGGCTCAAGGTTAGTGCCCTACCACTTAAGCCACTACTCTACTTCTGGCTTTTTGGTAGTTAATTGGAGATAAAAGAGTATTACAGATTTTCCTGCCTAGGCTGGCTTCCATCGTGATCCTAAGATCTCAGTGTCCTGAGTACCTGGGATTACAGGTGTTAGTGGCTGGCACCTGCCTTTCAATCTTAATCCCTTTGTCCAGTTGAGGCTCTGAAATTGAGTGAATTTATTTGTTAGGAGCGAGAAGTTCTTTTAGTCTCCTCCTAGTTGCTGCCCTGTTTTTGAAGGTTCAAGGCTGGAGTTCATTACAGAATGTATAACAAATCATGGTGGGTGGGAGCTGGGGAAGAAACTCATACAACACCATTCCAGATTGAAGAAAACAAACAAAAAAAACCAAAACGCCCAGGACTTCCGTGGGTTTCACAGCGCACCGTTAACCCTAGTTTGTGTCCCCCCATGGTGGATACGGACAGATTTTTGGAGGGGATTGTGCCAGCGATCAATGAATTCACACATCCTCCATTGCCCCCGCCCCTGCCTGTTTATCACTCCAGACTGCTTGTAAGGGCCATCTATCTGCTGATCTTATTTTCTCCCTACGGTCCACAACCCTGCCTGCTTCCGACTGCCGCTGTCCACTGAACGCTTCAGTCTTTGATCGCTGCTGGCCATGTGCCCTCCGCATCCCGCCCTAGACAGTTACCAAGCATTGTTCTCACATGAATGGACACCTGGTCCACCCACCTGGTCCAGCTCTGCTCCTGCCGACAGAAATAGAGACAGCAACAAGACAGAGATCACAGAGAAGAGAGCGAGAGATCAACCTCTGGGGGGCTCCCTGGAGCCAGACCGGCCGGATCCAGGCCCGCTGGGGGCCGGTCCTTCGTGGGGCCGGGGAGGCGCACGGACGCGGCCCTGACACCGAGCACGCGCTGCTCTGTGGACCACGCGGGGGGGAGGATGGAGTGGAGGCGGTGTTCCCGCAGAAGATGGAGGAGCCCCGTGGCCCAGGCACGCTGGATTGTGGGGACCTACGAGCATCCAGGGCGCCCCGCGCCCCGTCCTCGCGCGCATCCCGGC